TACTTTATTATAATGTAAAATGGGCAAAACAACACCTGTTTCAACTAATCAATGTGCAGTGTAATAGTCTAGTATCACAAGGATGGTTTTTCTAGCAGAGAAATCAAAAAAAAAAAAAAAAAAAATTAAAATTTCAAAGTCAACTGTTAACAATATTATCAAACATTACAAAGGAACTGTTCATCTTAGTCTTAAAAAACCATCTGAAAAGCCAAGAATTACTACAAAACGTGATGATTTGAGTACGAAAACACTTGTACAAGAAACCGTTATTATATGACAAGCAGCATGTAAAAAAGAATAGCATTTTGCAAAAAGTACAGGAAGGACTTCTAGAGAGTGGAGTAAATTACTATTCAGCAATGAAACTATGATCATGGGGTAATTCCTTGTCAAATGACCCAAAAAATTTTTAAAATGTTCCCCTATATCTCAGTTTTTGCTGATTTTTATGTAGTTTAGATTACTTAGTAAAATAAGAACTCCTTGAAAGTTTTAGCCTCTGGCTCTAAGAAGATACAGAAATATGACCATTTTACTTTTAACAGATGTTGGCCAGACTCCTCTTGTCCCCTTAGAATTGCGACATTTATTCAGAGATTTCAAGTTACATAACTTTAAAAATATTTGATATTTTTACTTAAAAATTTGTACCAAGCTATTTTCAGGGATGGCAAATCCAATGAAATGATCATAAATATAATATATTATTTTTAAATATTAGTAATTTAAATAAATTTAGGCAATATTTTATATATCTGATTATGATGCTCAAGAAACCCATGTGGCCTTGATTATATAAAAAAATAAATATTACACATTATTCTATATTCATTGACGTTTTAAAAAATATAAAGATTTTGATCTGCAAGGATATGGATTTCGACATATAGATAATAGGGCATGGTCCCCACTTTTTGCAGTATTACAAATGATTTTTCACTACCTTCCAGACTAGCTGGAGTTCTGAAACTTTTGGCATTTTTTTAGTGCTGATAAACATACATTTTAATGTTATTTTCAGGGCCCAAGACACCTGCGGAGGAGGGAGGCTGGGTCATCAGCTCTAGTTTTTTGTAGCTAATCTTATAATAGTTTTTCATTACTTTCCAGACAAACTGGAGCTCTGAAACTTTTAGCATTTGTGCAGTCCTGATGACGTGTGTTAAAATTGTCCTGATGACCTGTGTTAAAAGAGCAGATGACCATAAGGCCGGGGCACTAGGGATCATGCCACATAAATTTTCTTAATAAAATTTTGTTTGTTTGTTTGCTTTTTCAATAAAGTAAAGATAACTTTGAAAATATTGTCTTCAAAAAATAGTTTTGGTTTATATTTGTTCCATTTGGTTTTTGATAATTCTGTATTTAATGATCTTTCTGTATTCAATGTATTCTTCTGTATTCAATATATTCTGTATTTCATATGTAATTCAATGTATTCTGTATTCAATATATTCAAAGTATTCTTTTGATTATTCTGTATTCAATGATCTTAAAATGTTTTTTTGATTTGCAAGTTTTTCTTAAAACGAGTTCAACAAGTTAAAATGAGATAAACAAGTTTTTCTTAAAATGTTTTTTGATTTGCAAGTATATGGATTAAAAACAGTCATCCATATAAAATAATGATTTTAACAGAATTTTACATTGTCAGGGCTCAATTTAATAGTCGGACATCAGATAATCTGAGGTTTTAGTCATTGTCTGACTAAAACCTCAGATTATCTGATCAATTTACAAAGTAATTGGACTTTTTGACATGGAAAAATAGTTTCAAACGTTTAAATTTATCATAAAAAATATATACCTACTAAAAAAAAATTTAAATATAACATTTAATCTACACATAATACGTTTATTTTAAATGATCATTATAAGGAATTTTATTTAAAGCCTTCCCCTAAAATAAAAACTTTAAAAAAGATCAATCATTAAAAGTTATTTGTTATATAACAAATTTTTTTATTGTATTTAATTTAAAATATCAAAACAGCCCTTGTCAAATTGTAAAGAAAAAAAAAATATATATATATATATATTTTTTTAATTTTAATTCACCTTCTCAAGGCCGAGAAGGCCACTACAGACGAGGAGGCTACTTATTTGTGGCTATAACCCTCTCTCAACTCTATAACTCCGAAACACGAACCTTGACGAACAAGGCCGCTGCGCGGAGAAACGAGTTGAGCGCGGTACTACCAGGGACGTGGTGGGGATCGAACTCGGAACCACTCGTTTATGAAGCGAGCGCTCTACCACTACACCACTACCGCATTTAATATATATTGTTAGTTACAGTGTAAAAATTTATATCTATCTAAAAAAACATACAATATTAAATTGAAACTATTTTCTATAGCCCGGAATCCTGGAGTCCTTGCCGCCATTATATCTAAGGACTCCGGGTTCAAAAAATGATTGTTCAGCTAATCTAAAAGTCTTAATTTTTTTTCTATAAATAGTCCATAAACTTATTTATGTTTTTAGAGCTTCTGGATACCAAAAACTAGGATAAAATAATTTTTTTGTGACTTTCAAATCTGGAGTCATTTTTGAACTCTGCATCCCTGCCTGTCAGACAACAATTGAAAAATACAAATTGATGTTATCAGAGGCAATAAACAAGTTAACAGCTCATTCCTACATTGCAAAATGTCAAGCAAGACACCAAAAGAATTTTGAATGGTGCTAAAGTCAATGCACGTTACACCCTATTGTCTTCTATTTATTAAACGAAAATGACTAGCTTAAAGAAAAATCATCATGCTTTATGTCAGAAAATAATGAGCATGACATTGGTTTTGTGTATTAAGTTCAGACACAAATAGCTTATTATTTAAAAGAACATCATCCTAATATTTCAAAGATTCTTTATTTTTCAGATGATTGTGCTGCACAGTATAAAAACCGTAAAAGCCTTTACAATATTTGTTTCCATTAAGATGATTTTGAAATTGATGCAGAGTGGACATATTTTGCTACAAGACACAGTAAGTCACCATGTGATTGGTATTAGTAGCACTGTAAAATGATTAACTGCAAATGCAAGTTTACAAAGGCCTATAAATAACCAAATATTGAATTGCAATAAAATGTTTGACTACTGTACAAATAATATTAAAAAAAATTTTTTTTTTCAAGATTGAAAAAAAGACTGACAGAATTGTGCACCACTTTGAAAAAATGTTTTAAGCTAAATAGAACCATTCCTGGAACTAGGAGCTATCTTCAATTTAACCCAGAATATATAGATACTTTTAGCTTTAAACAAACAAGTGAAGATTTTAGTATAAAAGGCATGTTTTATTTTTCTAGTATTAAAAGTAGTCAACCTAACCAGCAAATTAAAATCGATACATTAAAGTTTGGTGAATTTATTCTGTGTTAATATGATATGATAATTTTTATGATAGGTAAATAAATAATAAATAAATAAATGATAAATGATTAGGTATGATAAATAAAATTGAAAATGAAATCATACTCCTTTAAATTTCTAGTTATTAATATTTAATATTTTTAATTTATTAATTTAATTTAATATTTAGTACTATTAATAATTTTTAATTAGTAAGCAAATAGAGCAAGTAAATGAAAAGTAGTGATTAGCGACGAATCGATGTTGGAGTTAAAGCCGTCATTCTGTAATAAATGTCTTGTAAGGTCTTCTAAGGTAGACAGGATTTTTAGACCCGTATGCCCAAAAAAATTCTGGATTAGTCACTGATTTAGTCTGCTGAATTACATAAATTGGTGTATTGAGATTACCAAAGAAATATGTTACAAAAACTAGTCAATTCATGCCAAAACCCTATTCAAATAATAATAAATATCAAATATTAAAAAATCAAATTGGTGCTTAAAAACAAAGGACACTCAACTAAATATTAGTTTATAAATTTTTGTATTTTTTTAGACTTTGTATGAATAAAAATTGTTTTTGTCATACTTTGGGTATTTTTTTTAAGATAAATTTTTGTTAAAACCATTTATTTTGTAAATACATGTTTCAACTATATCATAGCCATCATCAGTTAAAATATATTAAATGCCTAAATCAAATTATCAAAATTAAGTTGAACTAATAGAGACCTTATCATAAAAATACAATAAAAATGCAATTAAAAAAGTGTAATAAATGTTTTAAAAAGATAAAGGAACCCGTAATGTTAAAAGAAACTAGATTGAAATTGTCATTTTTACATGGTTCATTTGTTTATTAATAGTGAGTTTTTCCCACTCTATGTACATTCTTTGAGTTTTAATATAAATTTGTTGGAGGCCAAATCCAAAATTGAAAAATTAGCATGATTAAAACTATTAAATCAGCTTTCATTTGAATGAATATGTTTATAAATGAGTGGGTTTTTATCCCTTTTATTGGTGCTCGATTTTTTGTGTCTTTAAATGGCGAGTAGTTTTGCCAATATAACAGGAATTATATATATATATATATATATATATATATATATATATATATATATATATATATATATATATATATATATATATATATATATATATATATATATAAAATCAGCATAGAGACTCCTGTATATGTATATATTTAAATGTTAAATTATTAATTCAACATTTAAATATATACATATGTATATGTATATATTTTTTAATTATTGTTACAGCATTATTGCGGTTTAAATTGTATAAACTTGATTACTGAATATATCAATATATATATAGCAATATATAAACTCAAACTCATATATATATATATATATATATATATATATATATATATATATATATTATATATATATATATATATATATATATATATATATATATATATATATATATATATATATATATATATATATATATATATATATATATATATGAATAAAATAATACACAAAATATAAAAATAAACTGAAACTAGTAATAACAAAAAGTGACAACACTTATTAATTTAGAGAAATTTAAGTTTAATTAAGTTAAATTTTGCACAGAAAACCCTCAATAAAATCTCACCTCACCATAAACTTACTATTTTCATTTCTTTTAAGCATTAATACATTAAACAAATTTCCACCCAGCTTATTGAGTCCACCAGATTTTGCTGCAATAACCAGAGTAGCAGCATCACGCCAACATTTTTCAAACTTTATATTGTTCATTTATTTTAGTAAATCTAAAACAAGTTTTAAACTAACAAAACAATTTTTATTAAAACATGTTTGCTAAAAAGTAGGGAACTACATAGAGAAAACAAAACATATTTGTTACAAAATACATATGCAATATTGGGTTCAATAAAAATATATAAAGTTTATTAAAAAAAAAAGTTGTTTATATTGTTTTTCTTTTCCTTAAAAATAACTAAACATGCAAATTTGTTAAACTTGTCCAGCTTTATTTTCAGCTTGTTTCTTTAAATTTTCTCTATGTTTATCTCGCATGCGTCGATAATAATCTGCTACTTCGCACTCTTCCCATTCGTGCTTTTCATGCTTGCATGCCCATGGCATCATTTTTGTTTCAATACGACATTTTCTTAGAGGTATATATAAATGAGCACAATAGTCACGAAATTTCAAAGGAATTTCTGCATCCATCATTTCTTTTTGTGATAAAACCATCTTGCGCGGTGGTTCATCAGGCAAAAATGATGGCGGATTCATTTTTGAATTCTGAAAAAATAATAGGTTTTATTTTAAATAAAAAATAAATAACAGGAAGCCATTACAAAATACAACAATAGAAAGTCAATTAGTAAACTAATACAATTTGAAAAGTGTACAACTAAAGGAAAGATTTACAAAAAGGGAGGTTAATAAAACTTTAATTTATTTGAATAATATTTATTTTCATTTTCAGAAACTATGTGCTTTTGAATTTTGATGAAAATAATTTTTAGATTAAAATGAAGTAAACTCTGCAGTCACGATTACTCAAACCTATTACACAATTATTTACAAATAGTATTCAAAATTTACATTTACTGTCATTTCTTGGGTAAAGCTACAGTTCTTGCTTTTCTTTTATTCCAATAAATATTCTTTAGGTTTAAAAAGTCTCCACTGACAAGAGCACAACAAGCAAAAATGTAGCTTTACCATTTCTTAAATTAAGAAACAGAAGCTCTATATTCTATTTTCTGGTTTTCAAATCAAACCCCATCTATCCCCATTTTCTTCAATTTAATTAGGCTGTCAACTCTGATCAAAAGAAAGGCCTTAAAAAGAACAATTAGTATAACACACGTCAATATGTTATACTTATTGTCCTTTTTTTATAATAACAAATGACATTTCGAGCAACATATGTTGCTCCAACGAAAAGTCTGTTTGTGTTGTCACTTTTAAAAGGGCACCTATTATAAAAAAATAATCGCACAAACAATAGTAGATACATTAATGACCCAAAGAAAAGCACTAAATAAAAATAAGCACTCATTAGAAACTAATAATACTTGAAAAAACAAAACTATGCTTTATCGTTTAACTTGTCAAGTTTGTTTAGATTTAAGGACTTTCAGCTCGGATCACGGCAATCTATACTCCTGGCCATACCTACGTGCAAACGGCGTATCTATAACGGTGCCTATTTTTTAAGCAACGAAAAGACGGAAAACGAATAAATTGGGTTAAATAAAATTAAATTTAACCCAATAAACACAGTGGCGGACTAAGACTTTTAATTTTTTTTTGGGCCATTTTTGAGTGCCACAGCGTAAAAAATGACTAAAAGAAAAAAAAAATCCTCAAAACTATTTCGGGGCCCTTAAAATTGCAAAGCCCAGGGCTATCGCTCCAAACCCCCTCCCCTTATTCCAGCACTGAATAAACATATAGATTTAACTATTAAACTATAAACTTTTTTTATAGCTGTAGATCATAGTAATCAAAACAAAACAACAATCTTAAGAACAAATACTTGTCATTTATTTAAACACTGTGAAAAAGCATTAATTTAAACAAAATGGGAATGCGAAGTTCACCGAATGTGAAGTTAACTAGGGTTAATCGAATCTAACCACTGCGACCGTGGCGCAGTGATTAGAGCGCTTGCTTCATAAGCAGGAGATCCAGGTTCGAAACGAGTTCTGGAAATATTTTCGCGTCACGGTAAGGAAGGAGGCGTGAACTTCTTGGTTAAATGCACTTCCGCGGTACTCTGTGACAAGACCGTTAGGTATTCTTGGGGCACCTAAATAACAAAAATAAATAAGCTGAGTAAAAAAAACGCACAACTTTTTAAACGTAATGTAATAAAATTAGAAAGAGTTTGATAAGGAGATATGCGTGACCAAACAGGTGGTAGGATTTAAGAACAGTCTTTTCGACCAGCGCAACTACACTATTATTTCTTACATTTTGCTTTGCATTTGGAATTCACATTTGTTTTTATTCTCCTTTATTCTTACTTTTTGCATATATTTTGTGGTACACTTTTATCCATATCTCGATATTATTAAAATGGCAACTAAAGTTTTTTTTAATAGACGCATTTTTAAATAGACCCCGCCTAAAATATGTCTTTTACACTTGCCGCCGTGGAAGTGTATCGTAAAACGTGGTAAACAGAGACAGTTTTTAAGATTTTTCTCGTACCACTGATTGAAATATAATTTTATGATTATACCTTTTAGTGATAAGTATAGTCATATACTGCTCCTATGAAACTATGCATTTTTTAATCAATAAAATTAATGGCTAACCTTTTTTAATATTATTTTTATGTCTGTCTCTATTGACCCCGCATATGGGGTGAATAGAGAAACTAACTCTTCAAGATGTTTGTCTTTATTCTACCTCTGACTTGGTTATAATAGGGATACTGTTAAAGAATTTCGAAAATGTGTGTACCTAAAAACTAACCAGAATACACAATAGGCTCAAAATTGGACAAAACGTTTATTTTAAAAGAATAAATTATTATTATAGTTTTTATTACAACAATTAATAAAAGATGCAATTCTGAGCATCAAATTAACAGATTTTCAGAATAGTATTACCATGTAAAACATAAATGACAAAACACAAATTAACAATAAAAATTATCATAAAAGTTTGTAAAAGTACAAAATTAAGCACCGTTTATTTAATACATTGTTATTTGGAATGAAAATAAGGTTCAAATGAAATATATTCTTAAAACTAAAAAAAGTTGTTACAGGTACCACTGTTTTTGGTATCAACAAAATGGGGTTTGTTACTATTTCCTAGAGTATAAAATAGAGTATAAGTCCTTCTACGTTCAAGAGCTGGTTGGTTTGTAAATACTATTATTTGAGAATAGTTGAACAGTAATTTTCCCTTAAATTAAGAGAAAAAACATTAGACCCATTCCCGTATTTTGCAGGATGGAGAAATATTTTAAGACGTTCTTCCAAGTACAAAATTTAATCAACTTGACCAAAATACAATTTTCAATTCTATCCTGAATTTGGGCAAAACTGATAACCACCTACACTGTCCCAATTCACCTCAATATTTATATATATTTAATTAGATTTATAGATATTTTTTCATTAAACTTAAAATCAATATATTTGTTAAAGTTAGGTTTATGATCCGTAGTTTTTTAAAATTTCATCTGCTTATGCAAAAATTTTACAATTCCAAGTTTAGTACTTATGTCTGTGCCAAAAAGGCTTTTCACATTGACTTTTTTCTTACCATTTCGAGCTTATTTTTTAACATAATTTACTACAACTGGTAATGTCACAGCAAAATCAAAATTTTACTAACTTTATTGGACTGGGTCTTACTTAATAAGAAAAAACGATTTACTCCTCAGTTTCTGTTACTTTATTGAGATCTAAAAATCTTTTCTGGTTTCTGTCCGTATTCACCTTGCTGTCCCTATTCACCACGTTTTAAGGTACCATTGATTTCCATGGATCGGATACTTTTCCTATGTTTGTTGCTAAAAAAAAGATAATGTTCTTGAATATCCGTTTATGAAAAACAGATATTGAAGATCCGTTACAATATTTGTTGTAGGAATTGTTATGAAATGTAAATGTACTTTATATTAATGATCTTTACTTGTTTAAACTATGTTATTACAAAATTCATCACATAAATTTTGTAATAATTTATAATAAATTTAAAATAATTTAAGTAATAAATTATCACAAAAATTTTAGCTATCACATATTTAAAATTTATTATTTCTAATAATTTTGATTTAATTGTTGATATTGCTAAATTACCTTAACAACTGTTGAGCATAGCTAAATGTACTTTTTTTTTTGACGTTATTTATCAAGACCACGACACGTTGCACGTCACACGGTCACGACAGTTGATTAAGGCGCTCATTTTTTTATTTTTTATAATTTTTTATTTTTATTTTTTATTATTTTCTTTTTTTACTTTTTTCAAGTATACTCAGCTTGCACACCATGTAAGACCAAAGTTTTCGACGTTTTTTTTTACATTGGACCAACATCAATCAATAACATCGTGCTGGCCAGAGGTTTATTTAGCAGTCTTGCAGCTGACTATGAAAGTAGTAAGAAATAAATTATTATGCATAAGTATTTGAATTTTCTCAATAATAATAAATAAGGTTTAAATTTATGTTAGACGTTAAAAGTTTTAACTTTGTTTCTTCTACATAAGTATGTGATGCCAAAAATGCAAGCTCAAGCTTATTTTAATGAATTTGAGTCTATATTCATGATCAAAAATTTGTATAAAGTATCTTTATATGATCTTATTTTAATAAACGCAAAGCTTCTTAAAAAGTGTCGGACATTTTTTTTGTATTTTCAGCTATTAGAGACTATGTGCATCAAATGCCTATTCCCCGTTCAACATGTTTTAATCCTTTTAAAAGATCATTTTTAAGAATTATTGCTTGCATTATATTTTTATGGCTGTGCATAACTATAGTTGATAAGAATGTGGCGTGCGCAGCCGTGGCGCAGTGGTAGCGCACTTGCCTCAGAAACGTAAGACCCTTGGTTCAAACCCTACCTCTGGGCAAGTTTTGCGACATTGGTTGGGAAGGAGGCGTGAACTTCCTGTTAAATGCTTTTCCACGGTGCTCTGTAATAAGACCGTTGGGGCGTATATTTTGTAATAAGACCGTAAGGGCGTATTGTAATAAGACCGTAAGGGCGTATATCTGTAATAAGACCGTTGGGGCGCACGGTGCTCTGTAATAAGACCGTTGGGACTTCTTGGGGCACCTAAATCAGCTTTAAAAAAAAAAAAAAAAAAAATGTCATACTTTTTCTGTAGTTCTAATAAGTCATTGCTCAAATATTTTCTGTAGATCTAATATGTCAATGCTTAAAGATTTATCTTTGCGGCTAAAATTTTTTTTTTAAAAAATTGTAGCCGCAAACTATTTTTAAGTAATCAAAACAATACACAAATGTATTGTTTTGATTACTTAAAAATAGTTTGCAAACTTAATAAAAGACACATCCAGTGGACTTTAACTTTTTTTTACCATTATTCCACTTTTTTTGAAATTGTTTAGGCAAACTATTTCTGTTTTTTCAATTTTAGTTTTGAGATTTGATATTGATCTTTAGAGGTTTCTTTAACATTAAAATAAAATTAGTTGAGTACATATATAAATATCTGTATTAAAAATATGAGAGGATTGATTCATGTGGTACTCGATATAAAATCTTTAAAGCCCCATTAATTAAAATTGTTTACAAATT